AGATCGACCTGTGGACAGAATTGGAACGAACAAGAAGAAATATTTAGGGAGAGAAGGTGACAGTACGTCGAGAAATTTCAAGGGATGTATCCTAGGGAGCGGAGACCACAATCGATCGGAAGCTGATGAAATTGAATTTTCAGCATTGCCAGCGGGTCGACGCCGATGCACGGGAGGAGGAGTTGGAATTTTTGCAGCGTCAAGAATGAAAAATTTATGTCGCGCGCACGGTGGATATCTCCTTTTCCCCCCAACAGACAAACAGAAATTAGAGGGAAAAAGGTAACGTGGAATGAACTGTGGCGGAAAAATGGCAGGTTTCCGAGGGGAAATGAAGAATGATCGGTTTCCAGGAATGAGAATTCAGAGATGGAGACGGCTGAAATCCGGAAATAACCTAGAAGAAAATTGACGATTACTTTAAATAAATAATATCGCCATATGTTTGTTTATTAGCATATTTTTAAGATAGGAAAATTATCGTGCTTTAATGGTAATTAATTTTACAAAATGAAATGTGTATATAATGAAAGGTGAAAGAGACGAATAGGTGAAACGTTTGCTTTAAAAATTCGCTTTCTGGAGTATAATGAACGTTTATAAAGAAAACCATTATGAATTTACAGAAAAATAAAAAATGGAAAAAATATGATAAATTTTGAAATTGTTCGTACTTGGAAGAAGATATTGTGAATATTGGTAGCATTTTAAATTGGGAAATGATAAAAGGGAAATAATTCATTCCAATACACAAAGGGAATGTATTAAAGTAAATGAAAATTAATATCAACGAAAGGACGGAAATTAAAGAGCAAAGCCCCAGGTATTTAGATCCGTAATCCACGAAAATAGAAGAAAAGCGAACTGGCGAATTGAAAGGTAAAGCAGCGACCAATTTAAACCTACAAAAACTGACAATGAGTGAAATTATAAGTTCACCGCATTTTTGGCTCGTTTATCGTCATGATAAGAGTTATTGTTTCTTTTTTCTTTTGCAGAATTACGTAAAAATACACGAAAAATAATGCTATAATTGAAAGTTTTGCAGTATTTACGTAAACAATGAATTATTATTCTTTTTAAGAAAAAATTCTGTTTGTTAGTTGAACAAAAGTTCACTTATCAAGAAAAATTTAATTCCTTTTAATTTAAAAAATCTTTTTCAAATGTAGTTTCTTTCAATTACAATGAAAGCTGGTTTTAATAATTAGTTGCTGCTCCATTACGATTAATTAATTGGCAAATTCTCGTTTGCATGTTGTTAATAAGTTTTTCTATCGAATTCTAATAAAATTGTTTTAAACACTACGCAATAATTCGTTGTTCGTGTAAATATTGCAAAATTTGTTTTTCATCACTTTTCGTGTATCTTTACGTAACCCTGCTAAAGGAAAAAACAATAGTTCTAGCGAGAAACGCGACGAACTTATAATTTAGTCCAACATATCCACCATCGTGTCGTACAAAACCAACCCGAAAATAAAACAATGAATACCAAATAAACAGACTGTCACGATAAAACAAAACTTTCACCCCTGTTGCTACTATGATTTCCGTAAAACAACAAAACATTCGTCGTACAGTTACCAATGTAAAAAAAAAATAAATAAATAAATAACACAATAA